TCTTACCTGTTAATTGCTGAGTGTAATCCACATTTATTTTCGACTTTGTGTGTATTTTCTTTGTGTGTGCTTTTGAATGTCTAATGATTTATAGAGAATGGGGCCAGTTTGCAAAAAGCAGGTAAGAATGATTATCAATATATAAACCCTTAACTTAAATTGAGTTGAGTTTTCCAGAAACATTTAAAGTTTTATTCAGTTTCCTATTTATTTTCCATTCCAATCAAATCACTGGGTTCTCGGCTAAGTTTATGTAATATTACAGATTTTTATTTTTTTTTCAGGTAGTACAGGTACAGTTTTCGGTAAGTTTAACATTACTTTTACCCTGAGTTATCCTGGCCAACCGATTTAGATATCGCGCCGTTTCTCCAAATTTTTTTCTTTGATCAGCATACATACATGTATATATTGCATAATTATGCATTTCGTAGAGGTGATTCAATCACCTATTTGCTACAAATTTAAGCAGAATTATTTTTGGCTAAATGATTCGTGTTAGGGATTTTCAGGGGCTGGGATCCGTCCGAATAATTGCATTTTTTATTGTTTATTGCTATTTATTGTTTATTGCATTATTGGAGGATAGCACGTTAAAACGTTGCGTGTGATCCTGGCCAAACCATTTAGATTTCGGGCTATTTTCTCCAAATTTAAAAATTTAAACAAATTCTCTTTTTGCTAAACGATTCGTGGTAGGGATTTTCAGGGGCTGGGATCCGTCCGAATCATTGCATTTTTTATTGTTTATTGCTATTTATTGTTTATTGCATTATTGGAGGATAGCACGTTAAAACGTTGCGTGTGATCCTGGCCAAACCATTTAGATTTCGGGCAGTTTTTTCCAAATGTAAAAATTTTAACAAATTTTTTTTTGCTAAACGATTTTTGGTAGGGATTTTCAGGGGCTGGGATCCGTCCGAATAATTGCATTTTTATTGTTTATTGCATTATTGGAGGATAGCACGTTAAAACGTTGCGTGTGATCCTGGCCAAACCATTTAGATTTCGGGCTATTTTTTCCAAATTTGAAAATTTAAACAAATTCTCTTTTTGCTAAACGATTTGCGTTAGGGATTTTCAGGGGCTGGGATCCGTCCGAATAACTGCATTTTTTATTGTTTATTGCTATTTATTGTTTATTGCATTATTGGAGGATAGCACGTTAAAACGTTGCGTGTAATCTTGCCCAAACGATTTCGATTTGTACTTAATGATTATTTGATTTTATAGGGCGTCTTTCTTATTTTATAAAGCAGTTTTTTCAAATGACTGCCCACTTGTTTTTGTTTTTTATTGATTTGTTGATTCTTTAAACATTTTTTTGCAGCTTTAATATTTTATTATCTAAGTACTTATTTTGCTAACATATCTTTTTTTTAGGTAGAACAGGTAACTTTAAACTGTTTCTATTTACTAATAACTAGATTTCAACCGTTCATGTTTCAGGATATTTATTGTTTCTTTCACTAATATTCTGCTTCGTAGGTACCATGAATAATTCAACGTCAATTTTTAAATTATCTTTAGTTTTTAATCAAGCTGTTTGCTTCTACCTTGAACTATGCGTATGGTGTAAAATTTATTACATATTTTGTTAAAATGATATTTTTCAAGTACACCAAGTCACTTTTTTAATGTTTCAGTTTTCGCTAAGTTCGGCATTACTTTTCCCCTGGTTGTCATCTACATGTAGAACTTTTAGTCCTATATTGTTGACTTGTGTTTCATTATATAATTGCTCGTCATATTTATTCCCCGAGGATATGTATTCTGGCTAGGGTTTTTTCATTTTCAAATTTTTGATCCATCACAATTTTTTTGTCGCATTAGGCAATTTTTGTTATTTTTTACTGGCTTTCTTCTGTGGTTTATACCCCAATTCAAACGGTTTCAAAAATCAATAATTCAGCTTGATTTTTCGAATTGAAAATCATTTTCACTCTTTGTATTTTCAATAGGGATTGTTCGATGTATTCAACCCGAAATATTTTGCTCTCATTTATTCAACTTCAACTTGCCAGGTTCTCTACTGTGGAGGCTTTCTCCTTGAAAATTTAAAATGTAAATATAAAGCGATTGTGTTCTGCTGTGAACTACACTTTTTAATCTAGTGTAAGAAAGTTTGCGTTGTTATTCATGTTTTTTTCTGTTATTTACACTCTAATCTAAACGGATTTCATTTTTTCAAACGGGGATTATTTGATGTATCAAAACTCGAAATATTTTGCTCTCATTTATTCAACTTCAACTTGCCAGGTTTTCTACTGTGGAAGCTTTCTACTTGAAAATTTAAAATGTAAATATTAAGCGATTGTGTTCTGCTGTGAACTACACTTTTTAATCTCGTGTAAGAAAGTTTGCGTTGTTATACATGTGTTTCTGTTAATTACACTCTAATTTAAACGGATTTTGTTCTTTCAATAGGGATAGTTCGATGTATGTATTAAATCCGAATTACTTTGCTCTCATTTATTCAACTTTACCTAGTCAGGTGTTCTACTGTGGAAGCTTTTTACTTGAAAATAGAGAATGTAAATATAAAGCGAGTGTGTTGTGCCTTGAACTACACTTTTCATTGTCCGGTTAGACAATTTGTGTCATGGTGTTTTTCTTGCAAATAAGCTAGTTCGGATCTTTTAGGATTTTGAAGAAAAAAATGTTCTTTTACTGTAAAATTTCCCTAAACTAATACTTTTTCTTAGTGGCATTTCATTCAAAAATTCCCTTTTCGACAAATTTTTGACGCTCGAAAGTTCACTGTTCTTCACTTTATAAAATAACTTGCTTATACAATCTACCTTCGACACAGTGCGTTATCAACAGAAAATCAACATTTTAATGCATGTGGCCACATGTATATTACAGTATTTAGTAGACATGTAGATGTAGTTATTTGGGTTGTTTTTTATTAGCTTTGGGTTTATTAGTATTGGTTAGTTTTAGTTAGTTGGGTTTATTGCTGGTTTCCCGTTGATACATTTTCAATAATTCCAATCATACTATTTGGGTTTAAAACTGTTTTCACCGAAGCAGGGGAGAATAGTGAACTTTCCAACATGGAAAGGTCGTTGAAAAGGACATTTTCGGTAGAAATGTGGCTAAGAAAAAAGTGTTATTAAAGGGATGATCTACAACGAAAGTCAGGTTTCATCATCGAAATCTAGAAAGCCCAAAACCACATAATTATTTATTATCTCCGTGAATTAAACGCGAAATTAAACGGTTCTTACACTGTAAATTGGACGCTTTATGAACTCTAAGTAGGAACTGCTCAGATTTGCAACTTTCAACTTTTTTGCTCAGTTTTTAACTTTAAATGGTCAGGTTTTCCACAGTAGACTGCTTTATTATGTAACATAGGGG